TAGGTATATATATTTCATTTTCTTTGAAGCTACTGTAAAGGAAAATGTCTTTGATTTGTTCTCAGTTTGACTGTTGTTGACATATACAAGAGCTGATTTGTAGATATTAATTTTATATCTCAAGACATTACTATAATTCTTGATCTCTTCCAGGAGTCCCATAGTTAAGGGGGTTTTATAAGTATAAGATCATATCATCAGAAATGAGTGAAAATTTGACCTCTTGTCTCCCAGTTTGGATTCCCTTGATATCCTTCTCTTGCCTGATTGCATTGGAACATATAGTTTCTATTCTTTTGTATTTAAGATTTGATTTGTCTCCTAGGATATGATCAATTTTGGAGATTTATATGTGAGATAATAAGAGAATATACTCAGTATTATTGGGGTGGGATTTTCTGTGTATGTCTGTTAAGCTCATTTGTTCTAAAGTTGTATTTAAGTCCACACTTCTTTGTTTAGTTTATGCTTGGAGTATGTGTCCAGTTCTGTCAGTGAAACTTTGAAGTTCCCAGTTATTATGATGTTACAGTATATCATACTGTTCAGAGTGATTCATGTCATATGTCTGGGAGCATTTAAGTTGGATACATGAATATTTAAGACTGAAATGTTTTCCTATTATACTGATCCCTTGAGCAGGATGTAGTGTCACTGTCTTTTCTTATTTTGATATTTTAAAACCCCAGGTATCTGCCAGTAGGGTAGAGACTTCTGTTTTCTTCTGATTTGTATTTACCTGAAATATTGTTTTCCAATCCTTCAGGTTGAGTCTCATTTTTTCATTGGAGTTTATACATGAAGACAGCATACACTTGCTTTGTGCCTTTTTCTTTAGTCGGCCTGCCTGTGCCCCATTCCATGGCTCCTTTGAGCCATTCTTACTTATTGAGAGACTTTGTAATTATGATGGAATTCTGTTCATCTTGTTTTGTGGAAGTCTGTTGGTAAGTTTATTCACTTGGGCCATTGTAGAAGCTGGACTTTTCCTCTAATCCTAGCATACTGGGAGGCTAAGGCACATGGATTGCCTGAGCTCAGGAGTTCAAGGCCATCCTGAGCAAGAGTGAGACCTCATCTTTGTTTACATACTTTATGCTTTTATTTTATCTTACCACTTAAATTTACTTCTCTTATAGTGATGTCAATAGGGGAGTAGAGGCTATTGTTTATTGCAGTTCAATTTCGACTCCACTCTTGACATCAATGTAAGATTTATAAATTTTCACATATATGTGGAAAACTATATACATATATATATATATATATACACACACATACATACCCATATGGTTTTATTACAGATTAATGTTTTGTGAGAGTATAAATAACTGGGTTACAATATTTGAATTTGTTAAGTAGAGTCCATCCTGTAGTTCTTTCATACAACCAAAACGTGTGCCCCAACCCCCTATTTTGTGCCCATTAAGTAGGACCACACAAATCCACCCTCCTCTCCCACCCTCATTTCTCCTCCATACAACTTGAATTGAATTGAATTTGACTCCTATGAGGTGTGAAATAGATCATCTATTGGCTTGATATTACTATTTAGTACAATGGATATTTACTTTCCCATTCTTCTGATACTTTACTAAGAAGACTGTGTTTTAACTTCATCCATGTTAATACAAATGATGTGAAGACTTCATCTTTTTATGGCTGAATAGTATTTCATGGTATACATATATCATAGTTTCTTTATCTATTCCCGAGTTGATGGGTATTTAGGTTGTTTCCACATCTTGGTGATTGTAAATTGAACTGCAGTAAACAATATAGTGCAAATGTTTTCATGATAAAATGACTTTTTTCTTCTAGGTGGATGCCTAGTAATGGGATTGCAGGGTCAAACGTCAAACTATAGGTCTAATTTGAGTTCTTTGAGGATTCTGCATACTTCTTTCCAAAGATGATGTATGACTTTGCAATCCCACCAACAGTGTAAGTCTTTCTCTCCATGCCAGAATCTGCAACTTTGGAACTTTGTGATGTGTGCTAATCTTACCAGGGTTAGGTGATATCTCAGGGTGATTTTGATCTGCATTTCTCTAATGATTGGGGATAAGGAACATTTTTTCAAATGTTTGTTAGCCATTTACCTGCCTTCCTTAGAGAAAGTTCTGTTCATGTCTCTTCCCAGTGATAGATGGGGTGTCTCTTCCATGGGGTGAGATAAGAGGTCCTTAGTTAACTGCTCCAAATTAATTTTTCTGAATTAATTTAAGTGCTATAGAAATCTTAGCTATCAAACCTTTGTCAGATTTGCATGCAAATATATTTTCCCATTATGAAGGTTACCTACTTCCTTTGATTGTTGTGTCCTTAGCTGTGCAGAAGCTTTTCAGTTTAATTAAGTCCCATTTGTTTATTTTTGTTCTTGTTGCAATTGCACTTGAAATCTTCATAAAAAATTCAAAAAAATATTTTTCTTCAAAAAAATATATATTTCATCAGGCCAACACCCTCAAGAGTTTTTCCCACACTTTCTTCTAGGAATTTTACTGTTTCATTTCCCAGATTTATTTTTTCCTCATTTTTTGTTTAAATTAAATCATAACTGTGTACTTTAATGCCTTTACAGAGTCCAATATGCTGATTTGATGTACAACGTAGAATGCTTACATTAAAATGATAGGCATAACCATCACCTCACTTACTTATTTGTTGTGGTAAGACAAATATACTCTACTCTAACAAATACTCTAAATAGTAGACTTGTGACCTAAGATGTGGTCGATTTTGGAGTATGTTCCATGGGCTAATGAGAAAAATGTATATTCAGTTTTGTTAGTATGAAATGTTCTGTAGATGTCTATTAAATCCTAATGCTGAACTGTTAATTTTAAATGCAAAATTTCTTTGCTAAGCTTCTTGTTGGAGGATCTATCCAACGCTGCCAAAGGAGTATTGAAATCTCTGACTATGATGGATCTGGGAGAGATCAAGTTGCTCATGCCTATCAGAGTATCCCTTATAAATTGAGGTGTATTCTGGTTGGGTGCTTAAATACTGATGACTGAAATATCATCATATTTAGTCTTACCCTTCACAGATATAAAGTGACCATCTTTATCTTTGTTTACATTTGTTAGTTTAAAGCCTATTGTATCTGTGAACAAAATTGCAACTCTGCTTTTTTCTGCTTTCCATTTGCCTGGAATATAGATGACCATCCTTTCACCCTGAGTCTATATTTGTCTTTTAAAGTAAAATGAGATTCTTGAATGCAGCAGATATCAGGACTGAGTTTTTGTATCCAGGCAGCCAGCCTGTTTCTCTTTAGAGGGCAATTTAAGCCATTCACATTGATTGAAAATATTGATAAGCCTGGTATAATTTTGGGAATCTAGTTTTTTGAGAGTCCAGTGGACATTGTTAATCGTTTTGCCACTTTGAAATTGGAATTTGATCAAAATTTACTAAAGTGAGTTTATTTATATAGTGGAGGATTGTGCTGATCATTATGAAGGATAGGTCTCAGAATATCCTGGAGGGCTGGTTTACTTATGGCAAATTTCTTCAACATGTGGATGTCATTAAAGTATTTAATTTCTCCATCATAAATGAAACTCAGTTTATCTGGGTATAGGATTCTGGGTTAAAAGTTATTTTATTTCAGGAGATTAAAAGTCTATGACCACCCTCTTCTAGCCTGAAAGGTTTCAGCAGAGAGATCTGCAGTCATTGTAATATTCTTCTCCTTGAAGGTTATGGTTTCTTATGTCTAGCTGCTTTCAGAATTTTCTCTTTCATATTAACTTTAGTGAAGTTCATTATGATGTGCCTGGGGGATGTCTTGTTCAGATTTAGTCGCACTGGGGTTCTGAAACTGTCTGCTACCTGAATTTCAGAATCTCTTGGCATGTCTGGAAAGTTCTCTTTCATAATTTCATGGAGGAGAGCCTCTATATTTTGTGAAGTAACTTCATCGCCTCCAGGGATTTCTATAAGGTGAATATTAGTTTTCTTCATATTATCCCAGAGCTCTCTGAGGGAGTGGTCCATTTTTGGTCTCCATTGCTCTTCATCTTTGTGCGCTTGTGTACTGTTCAAAAGCTTTGTCTTAAATGTGAGACCTCCTTTCTTCTGCCTGCTCCATTCTCTTCCCAAGGAATTCTACCGTATTTTTTAGATCTTTGAGGGCTGCAACCTCTTGCTTCAGTGTTTCAAAATCTTTGGTCATTTTATCTTTGAAATCATTGAATTCTTGAGACAGCTATTGAATAATTTTAAATTCTGAGTGCCTCTTTTCCTCCATTCTGTTAATCTTATTTGCTATCCAGAGTCTGAACTCTATTTCTGACATCTCAGCCATATGCTTATGAATGGGATCTTCAATTGCATCTGCCCCATCCTTACTTAGGGGAGTTAATCTACTCTGGTTATTCACATTACTGGAGGCTTTTTATTTTTCCCCACCCCATGCTGAATTTGCACCATTTGGAGACCGTCCCAAAACCGTCCTGCCAGTGGCTGCCACTGGAGAAGATGCCAGCTTCCTCTATTTGCCCAGAAAAGCCTCAGGGGTGTGTGCCTTATTGTTCCCCCTCCTCCGGCTGTTGCTGTTCACCTTGGGGTACCACCACTCCTATGTGGTTCCCTCTCTACTGATTATTGTCTTGCAGTTTGTGGGCACCAGGCCTGAAGTGCTGTGAATGCATGGTCCAATCAGTCCTTGCACCACCTTGCCGGGGTTTCTGGGGAGCAGGGAACAACCGGAAGCTGAGCAGGGAAGTGGGGATGGATCAGTCCTCGGTGGGTGCTGCCAGGGTGGCTGGGGTCCAGGGAGAAAACCAGGAGCTGTGGGGGAAACGGGACTGGATCTGTCCTTGGCGCATACTGCCGGTGAGTCTGGGACATGAGGAGAAACCAGCAGCTGCTCAGTGAACCTGTGGCTGGATCAGAGCTCCGTGCACTCCGCCCAGATCACCAGGGTGTGGGAAGCAAACCAGCAGCCAAGCGAAGAACACATGGCTGAATCAGTCCTCAGTGTGTACCTCCTGGGTTGCCGGGGCACTGGGAGCAAACCAGCAGCCGTGCAGGGAGCCCAGGGCTGTATCAGTACTCGGAGAATGCCGCCAGGTTGTCCGAGCACAGGCAGCCAACCAGCAGCACGCAGGGAACCTGGGGCTGAATCCGTGCTCAGTGCATGCTGCCAGGGTGGCCGTGACACGGGGTGGAAACCAGCAGCCCAGAGCTGGGAACTCAGGGCTGGATCACTCTGGGGAGCGGGCAACACCGTCTTTTGCCTTCACAAAATTAAAAAGACTTAAAATTTAATAACAATAACCAAGTTTAAGATAAGAACTAGACACAAATACTTCATAAAGAATGAATGAAGATAAATACATTCGGAAAAGAAATCAGACGATTGCTGCAACAAAATATTGAGCAATAATAATAATAATATTACAAAAAGTAACATTCACATTGTCATATAAAAGTGTGTCTACCATAGAATGCTTTGACTCTGAGGTTCAGTATGGAGCATCAGTTAACTTCTTTTTTTCCCCAAAGTCTCAAAAAATAGATAACTAATATTTAAATAGAAGATATTTTCAATTATCTTTTTCTATTGCCTATAAGATTTGGCATGATGAAGTCAATTTTTGTATGTGAATCATGAAGCCATCTGGAAAGACTGCAGATATCTTATTTTTGGAAATAAAGAAAGTAAACTGAGCATCAAATTCTTGAACTATTAAAAACAGTTTTACTGCTTAAGGTAGTAGCCATTATACACTGCCAGGGACAGCAGAAAACCAACACTGGGAGGAGGAAGTAATATGGTCAACTACAGGCAGCTATTGACAGAGGTTCCTGTCAGAGGGATAGATAGTAGATAGAATGGACTCAATGAAGCTGAAGGTGAGGAAATCAGCTAAGAAAGAAGATAGACAAGGGCACATCATCTCTGTCCAGGCAAGCTTTGACGCCAAGAAAACAAACTCCAGGTACAAAGCCCATTAGAAAGGGGATGAGACACCCCTCCCCCAAGTGGGAGACTCACTGTGGGCTCTCTGACAGTGAGCAGGAAACAAAAGACCTCTTATTTTACCCCGAGAGAGAGCTTGTAAACACTGGGCCTCCTTCTCCAGGGATGTCCGATGTGTGAGCCTAGACATCATCCTACCTGGCATAAAATTGAACAAATATTTTCTCTGCAATTTTGGACTCCCAGCCCACCCTTCCCCCCTTGCCTGGCCATCTGAAGACCTGCCCTGAGAAGCCTGGGCATTGTGTTGGCCACTGGACAGCAGCACAGAAACAGTGACTCAAGTGGAAGCTGTGGGGTGTGGAGAGAGGATTTGTAGGAGAGAGAAATGGACTGTGATGGTGCATGGTGAGTGATGCACCTACACCCCTGGTCTTTGGCCGCTCACTTTCCTGATTCCATCGCTCACTGCAGAGATCCAGCCTATAGCCCCTTAGGGTTGCCAGTGGCAGTGTGTATTGGGGGTAGAGGTGCTGAATCCCCTGGTCTGTCTTTGGTGGGCACACCTCTCTGTCTCTGTTGCTCACTGAAGGGAACCAGGCTCCAGCCAGTCGAGGTTGCTTACAGTGGTGCATGGTGGGGGCAGAGGCACTGAAACCCCTGGACTGACTTTGGTGGGGCATACCTTCCTGATTCCATTGCTCACTGGAGGGAACCAGGCTCCAGCCCCTCAGGTTATTGGGAAGGAAATCCCTGTGTATTTTTATTATCATATTTCTGGAGACCCTTTGAACTCTCCCTGTTGAGCAGTGATTTTAGTTCCCAGGACAACTGGAGTAGAACTCTCATTCTGGGATGTCCACCCAGGGACCCTCTGAGGTTGAGTAGTGTTAGTTTTGTAGTGGAAGGGACTGACTGTCCTCCTCCAGCTGTCACTGGTGTGGAGAGGCAGGTCAATGCAGTTGCAGTTGCAGTTGCTTGTATCTCTCCCCAGGAGAGATGTCAGCCTAATACCATGAGTCACTAAGATTGGGTAGAGGCTGGCTGACTACAAGACTGACCCTGCTTGCACTATCACACCAAGAAGGTCCTCAGAGTCTCTGGCTGCATCTCTGAAAGGGACCTTTGTAAAGCTGTATGTGGAAAGCTGCAATAACAACCCCCAATGGAGATAACAATGGCTGGTTATCTCTGCTTCCTGGGATATGACCGATATCCACCCTAAACCGATATGACCCTACATGTTTTACTTGCCAAAATTCAGAGAATACTCATGGCGCCAAACCAGCAGAAGAACTCTGGCAAAATAAATTATTATAGTAGATCAACTCCCCCAAGGAATGACAAAGAAGATACAACAGGAGATGCTATTCATAGACAAATGGCTGAAATGTCAGAAATAGAATTCACAATATAGATGGCAAAGAAAATGAATAAAATGGAGAAAAAGATGGAAATAGGAATACAAAGAGCTGTTAAAAACATCTCTCACGAATTTAATGAATTCAAAGACAAAATCATCATGGATGTGAACATAATGAGAAAAGACATAGAAGAGCTCAAGGAAGTAAAAAGGTTATTTGAGGAGGTTTGAAATGCGGTAGAATCCCTCAGTAATAGAGTTGAGCAAGCAGAAGAAAGAATCTCTGAAATTGAAGACAAAGCTTTTGAACATTCTCAAATGCTGGAAGAGGCAGAAAAAATGAAGATCAAAAACTAATCATTACCTAAGAGAGTTGTGGGAACACTCCAAAAGTTCAAACATTCGTCTTATAGGAATTCCTGAAGGAGAAGAGGATGGTCATGAAAGCACAGATTCTCTACTCCCAGATATTATTGAGGAGAAATTCCCAAACATTGAAAGAGATACAGAAATTCAGGAGGGAGTGGTCAAGATGGCCGAGGGGCACCAGCCTCCGACAGAAGCTCCTGTTCAGAGGAAAGGATAAAGTCCAGAGAAACCCCCAAGAAAGTCGAAAACTGGGAGCCCAGCTGAGAGGGAAGAGTGATACCGGCAGGACACCTCTTCTGAGACAGGTGGAGACTCCTACAGGACAATCCACAGGTACATAATTCACTCCAAAGGAATAGCACCCATCCCCTCCCTCAACAAAGGTGTGCTTTTCCTTTGTTTCCTCTTCAACCGCTCCTCTGAGTCTCCTACAGGCCACCAATAAACTGAGGACCTATCCTCTCACTCCACAAGTGAGAGCTGCCGACAGGGAAGTTTACCACCCTGAAGGAACCCGGCTGGGACTTGGAACACCCTCCCCCAGGCAGAAAAGTGGAACTGGCGTTCGCACTGCCATTTTGAGTTTCCTGTCCACCCTTCCTCCCCTTACCAGCAGAGACAGTGAGAGGATATCCAAGAACAGCATCCACCCACCCTTGCAAGACCTAGCCCCTGTCCCGATCCTTCACTGGGAGATCTGCTTGATCCACACTTTCTGCATGCAGACGATCCCCCTCAGTCAGGACATTCTGTGCTCAGCTGTCTCCCCGGCTGCTATCTGCACTTCCTGGGGTCTTGGCCCCGGTGATCGGGATTGACGTCGGACAGGGAGGGCTACATGCCCTGCCATGCCCCGCCTCTGGGGCTTTGGTGGCCCTTGACGGCAATTGACTTCTGCTGGGGGAGGTCATGCAGCTGCATGCTGCCTCCTGGAGCCTTGCTGGCCCGCAGTCACCATAGACTCCTGCCGGGGAGGGTCACACATTCCTACCAGCCACACGCACACCTCCGGGGCTTTGGTGGCCAGTGAGGGCAACTGACTTCTGCTGGGGCGGGTCACACAGTCGCGTGCCTGCCTCCCAGGGTTTTGTCGGCTGGCGGTCGCCAGCAGCACCTGCCAGGGAGGACCGCGCCATCCCGCCAGAGGCGTGCCCACCTCTGGGGCTTTGCTGGCCTGGGAGGGCAACTGACTTCTACTGGGGCAGATCTCACAGCCGTGGGCCTGCCCCCTGGGACCTCCCGACCCTCAATAACCACCAAGAACTGCCAGAGAGGGTCGTACTGTCCTGCCAGCTGCACGCTGGCCTCTGGGGCTTTGGCAACCCGTGAGGGCAACTGACTTCAGCTGGGGTGGGTCGCACAGCTGCGCACCTGCCTCCTGGGGACTTGCCAGCTTGCGGTCTCCAGCAGCTTCTACCGGGGAGGCTTGGGCCATCCCACCAGCCACGCACCCACCTCTGGGACTTTGGTGGCCAGTGAGGACAACTGACTTCCACTGAGGCAGGTCTCACCCGTCTCCCAGGGCCTTGGCAGCCTGAGATCAACGCTGACTCCTGCAGGGGTGGGCTGCATCACCCCGCCTTCTGGCCCCGCCTCCCGGGGCCTTGCCAGGTTGTGCCCAGGAGAAAACTAGAAGAAGCCACTGGCAGAACGGTTTTAGGGACGGTTTCCGAAAGGTGGAAATTCAACATGGGGCGAAATCAGTGGAAAAACTCTGGCAACCAGAATAACCAGAGTAGATTAACCCCCCCCCCAATGAAGGATGGGGCAGACACAATTGAAGACCCACTACATAAACAGATATCTGAGATGTCAGGAATTGAGTTCAGAATCTGGATAGCCAATAAGATCAACAGGTTGAAGGAAAAGAGGGAGCTAGAATTTCAAATCATTCATAAGCTGTCCCAGGAATTAAATGATTTCAAAGATAAAATGATCAAGGACTGCGATACACTGAAACGAGGTTACAGATTTGAAGAGTAATGTTGAATCCCTCCATCAGAGGATGGACCAGGCAGAAGATAGGATCTCTGACACTGAAGACAAAGACTTTGAACGCACCCAGACTTCCAAAGATTATGACAAATGGAAAGCAAAAACTGATCTCTCACTCAGATAGATCTTGGATAATTCGAAGAAAACTAATATTCGCCTCATAGGAATCCCTGAAGGTGACGAAGTT